GATCACTAGCAAACCTCCTGAATCGCAGTCGTTAATATGAAATTCGGATACTCACTTACGCGGATACCCTGCAGCTGGAATATGAAATAGTCAGGATGAATCCAATCCCCACGATCGGTCTTGGTCCCCTCCTTACTTGAACTTGAAACTTGTTGAGAGTCCACACAACGTCCCCGTATGTCGATGTGGCCTTAGTGACCCTCAACTCGGGCTCCTTAGCGCGTTCAGTAAGGCAGCTTATCCTCACTTAACTCTTCCACGCAAATTGAACTCTATTTAAATTTAACGTCTTGTGATATTCTACCTTCTTACGCTCTTCTTCTTGGTTCCCTTGTACACGCCTCAATGATGAAGGTGCTTGTAAATCATGATTTCTTGGCGTCACTACGTCGTGACTGATTTATACGGATCTTGATCCTCGATGGCCATTGTATCTGGAGCCTTGTAAACACCCCACACACGATACCCGACCATGTCTGCACTTGGTCATCCAGGGCGGACTCTCGTCGATCCTGGATGTCCTTCGTCGTCGGAGTCAATCCTGGTTGTCAGTCGTCATTCATCGCTTGGTAACACTGTTGAGACGCTCGTTGACATGCTCCAGTTGGAGTTGGTGATTATAACACCAGGGCGGCTCAAGTCAGGACAGGTAGCTTCCCGAGATACGTTCTTCGGGGCGCGTCTCTACCTTCCAGGTTCACCTGTCGTCAGGGTATCGGCAACTCGGACCGTTTGGTTTACTTCATCCTGGGTGGCTCTAAATCCTAGATGGTCATTCTTCCTGAACGACCATTTATCCTGGATGACGACTTCCGAATCTATGGACCTCTTCCTTGAACACATACCTGGTAGCTCCATCTCCATCAAGAGCAGTCCTTCTCCATGCCTCACGCAGACGCCAGCTCTAAACTCACCGTTCTCGACCAATCAGCACCCTATTTCACTCCCTCATTCATCCATCTTGGAAAATTACACATCGCCACAACCACCCTCTGTTCAGGATTTTTTACAGAGGAAATCACCACCGAGGTGAACAATCATGACGAGACTACATCCACATCCGACCAATCCAGGGCGGTTCTGAACGACCCGCCCGTGGCACTACCACAACTCGCATCTTTTCTTGGCTCTTTCGCTTGGCACCCAAGTCAAGTCCTGCCGTCACGTGGCCGCCCCAGAGATTTCCACTCACAACGCAAAAATTCTTCTGCTCGGCAACTCACTTCCTTGTCAAGCACGCAAATGGTTCTTCCGACAGTCAACCCATCTCCTAGCACGGCGCATCTCTTGTTGGCCCCCAGGCGGGTTGCCAACTCGGCTGGTACCAATGTGCCTAATGGCAGTGCGGACTCCCACGGCGACCAGGGCGACCGACACCCAGCATCCTCGACAGGGTCGGCTTCATAAGGTGCCTCTCCAGAGTACATTCCTTCTCCTCCACGTCTGAGACCCGATGGCGACACGGTGGGCTCTGACGAGCCGATGTCGGAGAGCAAGGATTCGGCGCACGTCTGGATATAGCCTCACGCGTCGCCAACTGCTTTCAAGCGGCTACGCGGCGATATTCGCTCCCGTTGTCAACAAAAGACCTTTCTGCGATCTTAACAGAAGTAGTGCCTGCCCGTTTCCCCTCGTTTTGCGACCCACAGTCCGTCGGACCACGCCTTTTTCGTGGGTATACCCGCATGGGGTCTCAGCATCTCGCCGAGGCCAAATATACCAGGGATGGTTCTGGAGGTCTCGAAGCGCTGCAGTGTGTCGACGGCTTGAGTGGAGTGGATATCCAGGATCTGACTTTGCTAATTGGCCACGATGGCGACGTGGATGACCTGGTCCTGCGTCCTCCCCTGCGTCCACGCCCCGATTGACCCCTCTACGTGGTTGATCTGGAAGGGATACTAAATTCGTTGATGGTGCGTCGAGAGTTGGCCTCAATCCTGTCGCACTATCGCCTAGACAGACTGGATCAAAAGGTGTTTGTCACCACTACATCCCTGAAATGACTCCTGGACAAGTTCCGACACCTTCACGCTCAGGTGGGAGCTAAATATCTTACGGCGGTCCAGGACATTTTGAGCTCCCAGAGCGAGACTACCAGGGTCAAAGCTGACTACGCAACGCTGCATGAGTTCTACTGGGGTGAAGCTCGTCGGCTGCAAATGTTATTGGATGTGACAGATCACCGCCGTCAGGACGATCTCCGTGGGGTGATATCTGAGCACGAGCTAGAGAAGCGCGTCCTCCAAGTAGAATTTTCTGAATTACGCTCCCAGGTGGATAGTCTTCTCCTGACGAGTCAAGACCGTCATCGAACGTGTCGTCTCGACGTGCCTCGCTTGGTGAATTTTCTGAATCGCAATCAGACCCGCGTCAACGATAACTGGGGCCGGCTCCACAGTTTCGTGATGGTGACGATCCAGAGAGTAGTCGGAGCACTCTGATCGCGGTTACCGCGGTGGATGCCCCTTTCGCCCAGACTGTGCCCTTCACGGCGTTACCCGAAGGTTACTCGGATGGTGACACCAAAGACAATAGTGGTGTCCAGGGCGGCGATGTTTGGGGCGGCCACATTCAAAGTGGTGACAACACCATTGACTTGACGCAGCCTTATTCTGCCTCCAGTGGGCCTCCTTCGCGGAAGACGACGCCTTCCAAGAAACAAAGACGACGTGAATCTGCGCTCAGGGTCCGGGAGTCTCCTCATTTGCGATCTCCTGGCTGGAAGGCTACGAACGATGGGGCTCGCTCTCCTACAGACATGTTGATGTTCTCAGAGGCGCATGTGCACGACATGATGAACAACGAACGTGTGGTTTGGGACACATTACGCCATGATGTCAATTTGCTGGATCGGTTACCAGGGCGCGATCGCAATGCTCAGCGAGGACTTCATGGTTCACAATTTGTTTCCTCCACCTGCGCTTGCTGTCATGCTCACAAGTATGATGTTTTGTTACCGTCTCGACGAGTCACTATGGTTCAAGTACGTTCCTGAGCGCCTCTACCTTCGCGCAGAATTGCTCTTTGCTGACGCGTATTCTGAAGGTATTCGCCCTGAATTTTGGCCGGACCTTGTGGACGCAGACGTTTGTGACGCTCAAGACGACGCGAGCAGCGAGCATGATGACCTCCAACGGGATACAATCCTGAAGAAGACGTCGACGTTCAGGATGACGACGATGCTCAAGGTTCGAGAGATGCTCCTCCAGCTACCAAACATCGTCGCACGTCTGTGTCTTCTCACACGGGATAGGTCGAGACGCTATCAGCTACTGCGACGAATACGCCTCCACTGTGCAACCGGGCTGGTACTCTGTGTCGTAAATCTCCTTTGGCTCGTATTGATTCAGGCGCTCTCACTGTGGCCGCCTCGTATATTGTGGAGGTACCTGGTCCTGGCGTGTCGTCTTGGCGACATTACGGCATTCTGACGACATTCGCTCCCTCATCAGCTCACGCAGTACGCCAGACCGCGTTTTTTTTCGATTCCGCGCCTAACAAGGTGGGTGGAATTTAACCCCTGAAGCAACGATTCATCCTGGGTGACGTTCCAGCGTTATTGGCGACCGAACTCTGGACACATATGTTCGTGACGCGCGTGCAATGTCTGGTGAAGCATTCACACAATGGGTTGACACCACGTGCCAGGATGGCTTTGGACAAATGCATAAGATTCATGGAAGAGAAGGCGGCAGGCTTCTGGTATGGTGACCACTGGTTTGCTATCGACTCGTCTACTGCGGGTGGTGCCGACATGCAACGTGGGTGCAAGCATCAGTCGGATGCATTGACCCGGACTGTGGAGGCTAGCAGCGCGAGTGCATCGCCGAGGGTGCGCCTTCCACGATTTTCTGGGAGGCTGCATATTGGACTTTGCCTTCGAAGATGTGTTACTGGATACTGATGGACCCAAGGTCGTTCCGCGATCATGGCAGTCCATACTCCCTGGCTGAGCAGCTCGGGAACCTGGATCGTCGTGGGCCAGCAAGATTACAGTGGGCTACTACAACCCTTGACGAAGAGCTCGTGGATCATATACCCAAGTCCGTACCGGTGAGCCTTCTTCCTCAGTTTGCTCGCCAGGACAACCCACTTATGATTGAAGTGGTCTCCTACATAGTCGTTACAGTAACTTAAGCTGTCGTGGGTCTAAGCCAATACATTTCACTCTGATTGTCTTTGTCCAATTTAGCCCAAAGTGCACACAGGGTATTTTGACCATCCAGAATTCAGAATGGGGTGGAGCCAACCAGACATACAAATAATCTACGAAAGTAATCCACAATCGAAAATATGCACAAAATCAAAATAATTTCACAAAAAATCATCTGTCTGAGTCAGGGTTAGTTGGCCATCCAGGATCGGCGGACGAGGCCAACTAGATCTGAGGATGGACATCACCCACCTGCATCGCCCTGAAACGCGCTCTGTCTTTAGCGCCCTAGTTGAACGCATACATCAAGGATCCACAGTTGAGTTGCGACAGTGGTATCCACTCAAGGTCGACATAACCCTTCCACTTGACAAGATACTCGCGAGCCCTTCTGGATGTGGGGGTACGTTTGATGCATCGGAGATCCAGGATTCGTTCCACTTCATACTCATCATTCTGGTTGTCTGCTTCCCAACTGGCTTCGGGTAACAACTCGGCATCCAGGTCGTCATTGTCATCCAGAGTGACTTCCTCGACGGGTCTCCTCGGGAACAACGCCTGAGGTTTCAGGCAACTCACATGCACCCATGGGTTCACGTGCTATCCTGTTCCGTAGATTTTCAACTTTACTCTGAAATTATTGTGGACCTCGGCGGTCCCGAATGGGCCATGCCATAAGTGTGCCAGCTTGCTCCTCAATCTTGGTTGTACCTTGGGTATATACACCCAAACCGCGTCGCCCCTTTTGAATCCAGACTTTAAACGCTCTGCGAGCTCTCTCTAGGTCTGAGCTTCCGGTTTCATACGCTTTGCTTTTTTCTGGAGGACTTTAGCACAGGCGCATGTATAGCTGTAATCGCGCTGAAATAATTCGCTTCCACTCATACGCAGTCCGTTCTCGAAGACTGGACGGCTTAGTTCCCAACATGGAGGATACAATGCTATGAGCGTCGCAACCATGGACCAGATAGAATGGAGTATCCAGACGAGTCGCATCAAAAGATGTGTTCAGGGCAAACATCAGTCGCTCGGAATGATAATCCCAATCTGACAGGTCTGCCACAGCGACATACGCCCTCACACTCCGAATGACAGTCTGGGTGGACGCTTATGTTGCCGATTGGTCTGAGGTCCGTAGCTCAGATTGGATCTTTGACGACTACCCAGAAGTTCCCTGAATAGAATGAAAACCTCACTCATGAACCTCGGGACTTGATCATGGCGAATGATATCTGAGGCGCCGAACACCCTGAACACCCGCTCCTCATACGCTTCTGCTACGTCCTGAACTGTTGTGGTTGGCATTGGTTTGTACATCACGAATCCTGAGAGCATATCTTGGAACAAGAGGAGAAAAGTATTTCCTCGCTCTGACTTCGGCATATGTGTAACGAAATTCATCGAGACTACTCCAAATGGTCACCTTGGTTCAATATTTCCGGGAGATGGACCAGGGTTGGACGCGTGTCCCTTACCGCTGGCACAGTCAACACACTTTTTGGTATGACGTTGCACATCTGCGTACGTCCCGGGCCAGTAGAATTCAGAGTTGAGCTTTTCCTGAGTCCGCTTAATGCCCTGGTGTCCACCCTGAAATTCCTCATGAGCGTAGTGCAGGATGTCTTCCCTGAGGGCAGTAGGCGCAATTCATCCTGGGCGTCTCGAGGTCTGCCGCATGTGGACTGAGCTAGCCGATGCAGCCCACCGCGGGCAGATAAATCTGCGACCTTGACGATCGTTCGCAACTGGCGAGGTTCGAAACGATCAACTTCTCCATACAGGAAATCTCTTAGGTCACACAGATACTCGTCTTGTTCCTGGTGCACCTTGATCCGCCATCGTCTCTCGCGTTGATATTCTAAAGGATCGAGTAGTTCCGACGATAACGGCCTGCCTCGGACACTAGCTCGTGTCATGGCAACCAAGAGCTTGGCTGCGTATGGCAACGGAGCCGCCATGGCATCCAGGGCGGAGGGACATCCAGGAAAATCTGAGCGATTTCCTTCATCCTGGATGATGTATGACTTGCGACTGGGCAAGTCTCTGATGACTTCATCAACTTCTCTTGAATCTTAGATACTCGTTCCAGGTGTTGGTGGTCTCCGTCTTCCTGGACACTCCAGGGGCTTCCGAGCAACAGCGTTTTGGAGGTCAGATAGTCTGCCGCCTGGTTGAAATCTCGCTTGACATGTACTAATCTCACCGAATTGAACTTTGTTTTCAGCGCTTCACAACTGGCTAACCGTCTCTGCAAGTTGGGCTGATTACAATTGATCAGTCCCTGCACTTGCTGAATGCTGATTCGTGAATCGCCGACGGGATGAGGTCTCGAACACCTCTGACCTCCGCCATGGTTAGCTCATTCAAGAGCCCACAGTATTCGGCATCATTCACCGTGACGTCTTCCAAGATAAAACCTTGTGCATCCAGAGTTTTCCATCCAGGGAGTTCCCACGAAATGCATCCACAACTACCCTGCCGAGTGGACGTCTTGGCGGCACCATTAAAACTCAGCACGATGCCTTCAAGAGTGTCTTCTAACATTTCGACACTAATCACCGGTGGCGGTTTCGCGCGCTCCTTGACAGGAATGAGCTCCTCAGCAATCTCATCCAAATGGTCTCGAGGGGTAATATCGGCACCCAGGACGGCGGCTAGCCCGTACTCGTCTCGTTGGATTTTCCTGATGTCCAGGTTCCATTGCGAAAGTAACATGCCCCAGGGCACACACCTCCCATCCGTCTTGGACTTCATGATCCACTTCAGCACTGAGTGTCTGGTATACACGATGAAGAGGCATCCCTGGATGAGCGTTATGAAAACATGCAGCACTTCAGCACGGCGTTGACTTCTTTCTCCGCGATGTGATATCTCAACTCTGCATCGTGGAGAACGCGCCCCGTGAAACGTACTGGCTGGATCATGCCGTCATGTTCTTGACACAGGGCTGGATGAGCAGCCCATTGGTTCGCATGGGGTATGATGACGAACGGCTGGGTCCTGTCAGGGTACCACAATACCGGGGTCGACACGTTCTTGTGCTTCAAGATTTCGAACACTTGTTTTGCCCTTGACAAATCTCGTTCTAAAAGTACTTGGTCGTCCAAGATTTCATACATGGAGGCCGCGATCTCGGAGTAATCTTCGATGAATTTGTAATAGTAGTTCAGTCTACCCAAGAAGGGTTGCACCCCCTTCATCGTTGTCTGGAACGGTAAATCCTGAACGCCCTTGGCGATCTTCGGCGTCGCCCTAATTCCCTCAGCGCTAATCTCATGTGACAGATATGCAATGGACAATTTTCCAAATTCACTCTTCGGCGAACTTACTGAGACGTTCCAGTAATGCAGTCTATACAACAAGGCGTCCAAATCAGTACATAGTGCACTCTAAGTCGGCGCACGATGTGCGATATCGTCAATGTACGAGCCGCGTCCCAGGACAGGGGACATCTGATTCGGGGCAGGGATGTACCTCTTGAACACAGTCATTTGGTATGTCAGAGTCGGCAATAATCACAGAGTATGATCGTTTTCACAACCATCACACTCTGGGGGTCCAAATGTAGATAATCCAGAAATTCCTGGTCTACTTCGGCCTCCTCTTCTGGTGGCAGGCTCACGAATCCTCACAGGCAATTGTTAATCATTTGCCGGTAGATCAGGGGTGCATTTTTCAGACCAAACGGCATTCGAATCCACTGGAAGTGTCCAAACGGAGATACGAAAGCCGAAATCAACTTGGACCTTTCGGTCATCTTGATTGCCCAAACCCGCTGGCCATATCCAGGCTCATGAACTAGAGCGAAACCGACTAACAAGCCGTCGATGAGAGGTAACGGGTAACTAGACATCTGGATGAAGTTATTCACGAGTCGATAGTCGATACATATCCAGATGTCCACCCCATTCATCTTGAGTACGATCACTATTGGAGAGGCCCATTGCGAATCTGAATATTCAATCAAATTGTTCTCGAGCTATTTCTTTAGCAGTTCGTACGGTTTGACTGCTACGTGCGACCAATTGACCTTGAACGCAACGCGATGGGTTTGGCATCTCCCAAATCGGGGTCGCATACCACTCCTCTGGCACGAGCAGGTGCAGCATTTCCGTCTCCCAAGAATATCTTCCGATTGCGCTTCAGGATCGCACGCATCCTGGTTTCGTCATCGGGAGAAGTATCCCCCGGGATCCCCACATCTGCCTGATCGATATCGCATCCTGGATGTAATTCGCTCAGTTCTGGCTACATGACCAATTGGTATCGCAATTGTGCCAGAATTTCCCTTCATTCGTGGATATACACAACTGGTTCCAGATCCATCTCTTCATCACTAACTCTCATACAGCGCTCGTACTCCATTTCCAACCTCTCGAGTGGTGTATACGATGCCGTTTCTGGGTGGAATCCTGGAGTGTCGAGTTCAGGGTGTACTTCCAAGGACGTTCCGTTGCCCTGGTTTTTCTCGCGTTTGATTGGAAAATCTGGGGGCACATCCACATGGGCGTCGCCTCCGTCATCATACTGAGTGCTTCCTTCACCAGGATCGCATTCATGTCTGTCTAACCAACTCTTGCTGACCTGCGTGGCTACGTCCATTCCGGTTGTCACCAGGGCGTCTTCTTTCGTCTGCGTGCTCGCATCCACCAGCTCTCCACGATTCAGCATCCTGAATTTCGGGGGGGGGGGCTTGTAGTCGGGCAATTCTGACTTATGCAGATCCCGATTGGGGTCTCAGCATAATCCTGGTTAGCCAATGATACTCCGGTTTCGGTAAACATGGATGTTCTCGTTCTCGCAGCGCCTGTTCTCTTCGTTCAGCTCTGATTCTATCTTGCTATATCTTTCGCGATGGGTTTGGCGTCTCCTACATCGAGGTCACACACCACGCCTCTGGCGGGAGCAGGTGCTGCATTCCCATCACCCAGGAAAATATTTCTATGGTTGCACGCATCCTGGATTCATCTTCAGGAGAGGTCTCACCAGGGACGCCCACATCGATCTGATCGATGTCACATTCTGGGTGCAATTCGCTCAATTCGGCAGCATGACCAACTGGTCCCCCAATTGTGCCAGAATCTTGATCCCTTCATGTATGTACACTCCTGGTTCCAACTCCAGGTCTTCCGCGCTAACCCTCATACACCCTCATACAGCGTTCGTATTCCATCTCCAACTTCTCGAGTGGTGTGCAAGGCGCTGGTTCTGGTAGGAATCCTGAAGCGTCCTGTTCAGGGTGTACCCCCGCGAACGTCTCGCCGCCCTGGGACTGCTCGAATTCAATAGTCCATTCTGGAATCGTATCCGCAAAGGTATCGTCTCGGTCATCATCCAGAGTATTTCTTTCACCAGGATCACATTCATAGCTGTCTAGTTGACTTTCGCTGACTTGTGTGGCGACATCCATCCTGGTTCTCTTCCGTCTGTGCACCCGCATCTACCAACTCTCCGCGATTCTACACCTAAAAGCACGGGGGACCTGCAGCTGAGCCACTCTGACTTCAGCAGATCCTGGTTGGAGTCTCAGCATAATCTTGGTTGGCCATTGGTATTCCATTTTCGGCACACACGGGGGTTCTCGTTCTCGCTGTGCCTGTTCTCTCCTTTCAGCCCTGAGTCTGTCTTGTTCTGACTGGCCGTGTTCCAGGATCAGGGTCTGCCATTCATGATAGCCTCGCGTTTCAGGGCGGACAAAACGCCCGGCCTGCGGAAACGACCCATATTAAACAATCCTGGCGAGCGGTGTTTTCATATCGATCCAGACACTACATTCACAACCTTGATCGCTACTGGCCAGGATTTAGCCTGAAAGCCAATCTTAGTTGCCCACCTGGTACCTCGTCCAGCCCAGACGACTTCTCGTTCTGGATTGATATGTCCATACTGGGTGCGCACGACTGCGTGCTCTCCGGGCATGAGATAAAAGTATTTGGAAGAAGTGACTGGCAAATCCACACCCTGAGGTACCTTGACAACATCATCGTACATCAAGATGGAGTCTTCATCCGGGAGTTGCACTAACCCTTCTCGAACACTAACTCGTACTCCTGCGCGGAACATGAAATCCATACCTAGAAACACATCTTCGCCAATGTTGACCACCCACAACTCCATTACATAGACTTCTCTGGATCCCAGGATGAGCTTGCCTTCTGCACTCGCCATGATCTGAGTAGGAATATATCCTAATCCGGATACCTTGACATGATTTTGTCGATAGAGCTTGAGCTTGAGTTTACGCACTAAATCCAAGCCGACCATTCTCAACGATACCCCGGTATCCAGGAGTATTCGAGTCCTCACATCCTTTACGACGCCCTGAACAGTAACAAACATACGCTTTTCCTTCCTTGGCTGGTGTGTAGTCCACCACCAATAACGCTCCCCATCCCGAAGCCGGAATTCCACATGGAACTCTGGATAAGTACCATCTGAATGAAGCAATCTAGAAGGGCCTAATCCTGAACTCATGGGATCTTGAAACATAGAAGCCATGCACTGTTGGTTATCTTGGTTCTTGGTCCTGAACTCAGGGCCGACATATACTAAGGCGCCCAATACTGGGGTCTTACTATGCCCGTCGCGTACTGGATCCTCATCCAGCGGGCTTAGTGGTTTAACGAACCGTCACCAGGATCAGCCTTGCCAGTCCGGAGTCGATCCAGCATTGGAGTGGGTAGGCCCTTCACGATGCCCTGGCGGGCCAATCGTGCAATAAACTTCAGCATCTTCCAATCTTCACAGCGGCCATCATGCAACTTGCTACACTACTTGTAGGCAGCGCCTTGCACAGTTGAGTCGGCTGTCCTGTCCGATGACAGTACTCGCAGATTAGGTCTGTCCAACAGTTCTCGGCTCGATATCCCATGCCATTACAGTTGTCACAACGCATATCCCGATCAGGGTTACCATACCTTGGTGATGGCGATCCAGGGTGGCCGTTGTTCTGACCGACCTTAACCGTGGTGTTCCAAATTCCCTTGCTTGCTCCAACCTGAATTCTCCATGACCTTGAGCACATGTTGCGTCAGTTCTTCCATGGCCATCCTAGGAACTTTGTTTTCGATGGACACTTCTCGAGATTCGGCGGCTTCCTGGGTTGTGGGATTCTCAAGAACTTCGTCTTCGAACATCACATGTCGTTCATCAGATTCGAACTGGTCGCCACTCTGGGCACCGTACGTTCGTCCTGGATACTTGGTTTTATGTCGCCCCTGACGAAGGTTGTCCCCCAGAAATCCTGTGCTTGGTGGACGAAGTGTTCTGATTTTCATCATCCCAGTCGTCTTCCTGCTGTTTCAACACGTATTCCAGGTCATCGATACTCTTGAATCGTTGACCCTTCAGGATGTTCATGAGTTGTGAATCCACCAGTCGATGCGTAAACAGCTTGACGTGCTGTTCACGGCGTCGTTCGGACTTCTTATAACGGATGACGGCGCGGTCGGCCGCGACATTTAGGCGGTACAAGAAATCCAGATGGGGCTCCACCTTGCGTTGCTTCATGGTGTAGTATTTCTCTGAGCCGGACATCTTGGACTTGCAATCCTTCGTCTTAAACTCTTTAGAGAACCCTTCCCGGTCCCGACGCACATGCGGTGATAATTGTGAACACCAGTTCCTTGCCGAAGAAGACAACTTCAGGCGAAGCGCATAGACTTTCATCTTGGCGCTCCATCCGCCCTGGAAGACCAACGTCTAAAAACGTTCCCACCAGCGAGTAGGCTCCGAGAGAGAAGCTTTCTCGTCGAAATCATTCAGAGAGATCGCAGTCGCGAATGGTCGGATATTCATCGTGGTGGTGCCGGCCGGGGTGGTCTTGGGAACAACCATATCACTGAGCGGCTCACAGAAGGAGCTATCCGAGTCGTCAGAGCTAGAGTCGCGGTCGTCATCTCTTCAGCTCTGGTCCGAGTCGGATGCGTATCCGCCACGGCGAGCCTTCCTCGCCGCACGCGCCTTGAGTGTAGCTTTCTGGCTTTCACCTTGGTGTCATCCGATAACCTAGGTGCGGGAGACTTCGTTCCCTTTGGTCCCTACTTCGGCCATCGTCGCTGTAGGTACGGTAGCTACTGTTCTCGTCCTCTGCTTCGCCACATTTACACTCTGGAGAGTAGCCTGGAGCTGTGCAGCCAAGAGAGCGTCTGCCCTGGCGGCCTTGGCCACATTATCGCTAGACGTCTCCTTCTTGGTGACAACGTTGTCCGCATCGCGGCTTCTTGCGTCTTGCTGGAAGTTCGCAGTTCATGATTCCGTTTTGATCTGAGACACCGAATCTGGGATAGGGGCCACTGTCGCATATTGAGCCTGGGCGGAGTTTGCGCGAAGGTCGCGCAACTCACTGGCTTGAAATTTCTGGGTACGTTTCGCCGCTTTCCGTTCTCGTTCACGTTTAGCTTTCATCTCACGCATTTGCTGCTGGAGGGTCGCTATTTGCATGTTCGTGGACGTCATCCACCCGGCGCACACGCTCTGCTTCACTCTGTATTCGTTGGACGCTAAGACGTTCGGCGAAATCAGCCTCGGTTTGAAACGGTTGTGCCTTGAATCACTCTTCAGCCTCCTTCGCGACGCGAGGTCGCTCTGCCTGAATGGCAGATTCAGTGCCAACAGCCATAATCAACTCATCAGCTTGACGCTTCTCGGCGAGCTCTGACTGGATGCGAGCCAGGGCTTCTTGAGTCTGGCGCATCGTGTTCAGTGCGACCTGGGATGCCCCAGACATCGAAGATCGACCCGACCGGCTACACCGTTCTGAATGCGTTCGACGGCTCGACGGCTCCCTGGATGACCGATGGCGCCGGGTTCTGTTGCGTCTTTTCGGAGTCAGAGCCACTGGAGGATTCATCAGGATTGTTGTCTTTACAACGTTGGGATCGGCGCACCCTGGTATGTCTCGACCTGCGTATG